CACCGTGTCCCTCTCAGCACCTGCGCACTCTGCCAACAGCCGCTGCGGGAAGAGACGCAACGATCTGAAACCAGGGATCCAGAAGCTGACAAGCAGTGGTGAGAGCAGGGTCTTGATTGCGAACCTCTCGGGCCAGCGATGTCGTGAGATAGCGCCCCTTCGGCGCCCCGAGTTCAGGTGCTGGCGAGGCCTCCCGCGCCACTGCTGCAGGACCGACGGCGCGGCCACAAGGCTTCCAAGCATACGGCGCCTGCGGCGAAGCTCCAGTGAGGATGAGCCGCTCCCCGATCTTCCGGGGGGCCACTCCAGCTAGCCTGAGAATTCGAGAGCTCGACGCTGCGCCTGATTTAGAGGTTTCGAGTGTCGTGGCTTGGCCCCTGCAACGCTGCTGCCTCGCTCGATGCCGAGGTCAGCTGCAGCCGAGGCCGCCTCGACCTGGATGCCTTTCAGTCCCAAGCCAGCTTGAATATCACTTGCAACAGACAACTCAGACGCCACGATGGTCGACTTACGGGTAATCCAGAGATTTTTTTCTTCAAAACCAGCCGCAAAGATGCAGGAGGAGGGGGAGAAGAAGGGGGAAGGGGAGTGGGAGGAGGGGAGGGGGATGATGCCGATGATGATCATGATGTTGATGATGACGATGATGATGATGATGATGATGATGATGATGATGATGATGATGAGCATGATGATGATGATGATGATGAGGATGATGAGGATGATGATGATGGTGATGATGATGCTCAGGAGGAGGAGGAGGAGGAGGAGGAGGAGGAGGAGGAGGAGGAGGGAGAGGAGGAGAAGGATGAGGAGAGCATCATGCGGGCGGTAAGAGGAGGACGCGGGGATATTTAATGAGCGATGGGGGAACGGGGGAGGAGGGGGACGACGATGACGACGAGGAGCCACGACTAGAAACGATGACGACGACGAGCGACGAGAGACGACGAAGACGAGTAATGAGCCTCTGAGAAGCTCCCTGCTTGCTTGGAAGCGTACTCCCCTTATTACCCCATGTCTGCGAACCGCCTAACTCCAAATACTGAATTGGAATATTTTGTTCTAAATGTCGATGGTACTCAAGTCAAGATTGGCGACCTGACCTGATAGTACTCAGTTGCATTTGAGCGAGATGCGGTCAGGATCATTTGCTTAGCGTGTCGCGCCGCCAGTTCTGGCCCACCACGCTAACCACGTCTCAGTCCCCAATCGTCAACGTCACGAGCCTTTCCGTTCATCCCGTCCCACACATTGGAGCGACACGTTATCCGCTTGCAGGGCAAAGCATGTCGCTGGGTGAGGATCATGCGGGACCGCTTCCGCTTTGGATTATGTGAGTCTGACTCATCATGGAACATTGACAAGCACATTGTGCTGAGACGATGTCGTTTGACATCCTTTATGTACAACTTTGTTCGTCACTGATGTCGCACTGGTATCTGCCTGTCTCACACCAAGGACTATTGTGGAGTCCCTCCGCATATACGTCTTTTGGAAACTGCAGTGCTTGTACGATGCCATCTTTCAGCAGCGTGTTTACAGCCGAGATCCAGGCGGCACCGCATCCGCTCCATCACTACCCATTCCGGAAACCATAGCCCTCTCACAGCCGCATTTTTGATTAGTGTTTTGTGTGCTTTCCCGTCGCCTTCCAGAGACCCGGTAGCACGGAAATTAACCATTGTGACGAGGGAACTGTTCGCTCAGGCCCTTTTGACTCAAGCGATGTTTGCTCAAACCATTTCTGCTGAAGCAATCTTGGCCCGAGGCCACAGAGGAGGGGGGGGGTGGGGGGGGCTGGCGGATGCGGCTTGAGCCGCCGCTGTGGTGCCGTACATTTTTGGATGCTAGCTATTTGGCGGGGGTCTCGGGAAGGCGCTGTGCCCGTCGAAGCGTCAATCAATACAATTGCTCGGACAAAGCAATGGAGCGCAGCATTGCGCTTGCTCCGCGAAAGAATTCAATCAGGTGTGGAGCTTTTCCCAGGCCAGTACATTGCCATTGTGAACTCGTGCAGGAAAGGCGGGCAGTGGCAGCGGGCACTGTCGTTGCTCAGTGAGATGTGGGAGCTGAACATGGAGCGCAACCTTATCTTTCCTACATTGCCAGCACAATCGCGTGCGGGAAGGGAAAGTTCTCTCGGGGGCGGAAAAGAGGGGGGTGCTGACTAGGGGGGGGTGGCTATCATGGCGGGGGCCATGATATTTCTCCAGATTTCATGGCGCCTCTTCTCGTTTCATTGCGTCCCTGGCCCCCCCCGCTGGGCCGCGCACATGCCGCCGGCCATGATTTGCACCCCCCCCTCTTGGACCCCCCCCTCTTGGCCGCTCCCGAGTTCTCTCAGAGCGTGAATTACCTACCCCGCTTTCGCTTCCAGGCAAAACCAGGTCATACCACGCGCCTCCTCGCCAAGCGGCCTGACCAGCACAGGCCGTCGCTTGGCATCGCTTGGTATCTCCTGGAAGCGAGGGTGGTCAAAAGCGAGGTAGGTTTGTTTGCCCCCTATTCTCGGGGGAGCGTAAGACCCGGGTTTGCCGGGACTCGGGTTCGCCATCGTTTTTTGACGACCGCGACTCGGATTTTGATGAGGAGGAGTTTTGTGGGATGTCTGCAGCGGGAGGCCTCGTCAAAATGCAGGCTCGGCCCCGTCATTTTTTTTACGACCTCGTCGGGGATTTCCGAGCCCCCCGTACCCGGGTCTTAAGTCTCCCCGATACTCTCGAGAGTGTGTGAAAAATCGGCCTCGGCGGGCCCCTCGGCACGCCCCGGGCGCGCCCCTCGGCGCGCCTCCGGGCGGCTCCCGGCGCGCGTCGGAGCGCCCCCGGCGAGGGCCGAGGTGGGGCCCCAGACGTCCCCGAGACGTTCTCGGGGCGTTCCTAGGGGGCAAACAAACCTACCTCGCTTTTGGCCACCCTCGCTTCCAAGAGATACCAAGCGATGCCAAGCGACGGCCTGTACTGGTCAGGCCGCTTGGCGAGGAGGCGCGCGGTATGACCTGGTTTTGCCTGGAAGCGAAAGCGGGGTAGGTAATTCACGCTCTGAGTTCAGACGTACTTTCCCCGGGCGGTCCACGAGGCCTCCACGCCCCTCCAAGCGACGTCCAAGAGGGCTCCCAGGAGCAAGCATCGTCCCAATCCTCAGGGAGGGCGCAGAGTTTGTTTTCACATACTCGCTGTCCTCGTGTTCAGGGAGCCCACGGCGGCCATGCGGGCCCCAAGATCGCCCCAAGACGCGACAAGAAGGCCTCCAGGGGGCCCCAGGACGGGCCAAGGCGGCCCCCGAGCAGCCCAAGAGGCGCCCAGGACAGCCCAAGAGGGCTCGATGAGCGGCCCAAGACGGGCCCGAGACAGCCCTAGAGGCGCCCAAGAACACCCTGAACGGCTTAAGACGACCCAAGAGGCGCCCAAGACGGCCCCAAGAGGCCCCCAAGAGGCCCAAAGGAGGCCCCAAGATGCCTCCAAGCGGCCCCCAACAGGCCCCAAGAGGCTTCCAAACTGCCTCCAAGAGCGGGAGAGGCGGACGAGAGGCGTGAGGCCCCTCGCAGGCCTCAAGGAGCACTTACTAACGCTCCGGGGGCCTGGAGTCTCTTCTTCGGGGGGGGCGCCGTCGTAGGATCCACGATTGACGATCGACGATCGAGGGGATGAAGGATCGAAGGCAGGAGGAGGAGGAGGAGGAGGAGGAGGAGCAGGAGGAGGAGGAGGAGGAGGAGGAGGAGGAGGAGGAGGAGGAGGAGGAGGAGACGGATCCAGAAGACAGGGCCGACGTCTGGGCGGGACAGATGTAAACGGCCATTCCAGCGTTTCCGTGTGGGTCGCAATGCCATGTTCTGTTGTTCCGAGCTATGGTGCGCTACGCTACGTTACGCGGAGTCATGTTCTACTTCGTGGTCCTATGCTGCGCCATCCACAGCCCCCTACAGAGCTCCCAGAAGGTTCTGAAGCATCCCTCAAGATGCTTCAGCGGTCCAAGACGGCCCCAGGATAGCCCCAGACGCTACAAGACGGACCCAGGATTGCCCAAGACGGCCCCACGATGGCCCCAGACTGTCCAAGACGGCCCTGGGATGGCACAAGACGGCGCCAAGATGGTCCAAAACGGCCACGATGCTCCCAAGACGACCCCAGCTGCAGGCTCCCCCCCCGCGGGGGGGTGAGGTATATTGTCAGAGATGAGTGCCTCGACCTCGGGGGCGGGGGGGGGGCAGACTGGTCAGGGCGGAAGATGCTCAAGACGGCCCCAAGATGGCCCCAGACGGTCCAAGACGCCCCCAGGACGGCCCAACACGGCGCCAAGATGGCCCAAAACGGGCCAAGATGCTCCCAAGACGGCCCCAGCTGCGGGCTGCCCCCCCCCCCCCCCCACACATCCTCCGACGCTTGAGGGCGGCGAGGGCGCCGACTGACAGACGACGCGCCCCGCGTGGGCGGCGGGCGCAGCTGGAACCCAGCCGCCGCAGCCCACCAGACAGCCCTGGAGGGCGCCAAGGGCGCGGACCAGGGCACCAGGGGAAATTTGGCAGGACGAAACAGATACCCTGTGGCTAGGGCCTCAGGCCCTGCAGGGCGGGCCAAGGACTTGACCCGAGACGACCCATGACTGACCCAGGACGGCTCCTGAGTCGCCCATGACGGCCCCAGAAGCATCCAGGACAGCCCCAAGAGCGGCTCAAGAC